AAGTCCCGTTTCTGGCATCATGGCAAATTACATCAGGGAAAAATGTATATTGTGTCAGCTCAGACTTTAACTTCAGATATTTTATAAACAGCCAGGACCTAAGTTATAAAGAGGCAACTTATAAGGATCTTCTCATTTTACAATGATCATTTGTTTTGATTCTTAAGTTCACGGCTATTTCGAGGGGGAAAAAGATGAATTCAATTAAACCTTAACTGAATGGTAAATGAGGTGGTGGTTTTATTATGTCATCCACTAGATAATGTATAAACAAAAAGGAACTACAGGGCAATTAGCCCTTGGAGAGATTCTAATATTTCAATAAGTCACAGAAATAAATTCCGAGCAATTCAAAGATCTCTATTAATTGTAATGTTTCCTCGCCCATATAAAAAGTTATTGTGCATGTGTGTCTTCTTGTCTTTTTCTATCAAGTATTTCTTGAACTTCTTTGCAACTTTTAAGCCCCTCACATTTGCCTCTGGCTGATTTTAAATTATGCTAATTGGAAGAGGGAAAAATGCTGGTAATGAAATAAAATGGAACACTATTTCTTATAGCATCTGGTGCAATCTGAGCCATTTAAAAGTGCATCTTGTGGAATAGAGATCTGAATAAGCAATACCAGTCTGATTACAAACAACATGGGTCTCATTAGAACACGTCAATCTGATTGCTAGGTAGTGATACACTGCAGATTACTAGGCCATAATTGCCTTTTACATAATATGTGTAGAATATATAGTTTCTCCGGGTGTACATTGAAGCTACTTTCTCTCATGGCTATATTTTCCAACTCTACACAAAGCAATGTCTATGTTCTACTAAGTTGATTTTAACTAGGTCCTCAGGTCCTAATTCTATTTTCTTCTAAGTATTCATCAAGTTTTCTACAGCAGTGCTGTAAACAAAGAATTATGTCCAGGGCAATTGCCAGAAACAGGATATGTCAGAGGTCTATTACCCATTCAGCTGGGAGTAGTCGATGGCTCAAGGCACTTCCTCCGAAAGGAAAGGGTAAAATAACTGAGGCCAAAGCCCACATTATTGCTCCACATCTTAATTACGTTGTTGATGTAAGGGTACCATACATTTTTTCATCGTCCAAATCCATTTTACTCTTTACTCTTACTAGAAGAATTCAGACATCTTAGCTCAGGTCGTGACTTTGGCTCACATGCTTCATTTCATGATTAAAACCTATAGGTGCTCTAAAATCAGGACTTGAGAGATAGTCATACTCCCCAGTAGCATAATCTCTCCAACTCATTCTCACCTCGCGTGCTCTATCCTCAACCAGTACCGAAGGCACTAGACCATGGTGGAGAGAACGCAAATCTCCAAGCAGCTGCAAAACTAGATAAGTACAGTAAGTCCTCACTTAACATCACTGATAGGTCCTTGGAAACTGTGACTTGAAATGAAATGACATATAGTGGAACCAATGTTATCACAGGCTAATTGATATAAATAAGAGGTGAGTTTCTATGGCGTATTTCTGGTCACAAAAAATATCACCAAACTTCTAAGTAAAAACCCAAACAGATAATATTAAACACTGAGCTATACTTACATTTAAGAAAGATGAATGAAAACAAATAAGATAATGATTTCCCAACCTGCTTATTCCAGCTCATAGTACAGGATGCCTGGGGGGTATCCTGGCGTGCACATCATTGGTCCCAGTTGGGAGTCAACTTTTTTTTCCTCACCAACATTATCATTTATAATGTTGAATGAAACGTTATTTGAGGACCTGCTGTACTTGGAATGTGCTTTGGGGTGTGGAGGTAAGTGCATTATGTCTGGGAGTCAGGGGACTTGAGCGAAAAGTTGTGCAACATAGGGTGCATCTGTCTGCCTCTCTCTCCTTCAGTTTTCTTATTTGACACCCCAAAGGATAGACATCCAAATCGTGTTGCAGAACTTTCATTGCGTGGAGGTGTTGAGAGAGTGTCTTCTTCAAGTATATCTGGAAAATGCTAAGTTCAACAAGTGAAATCAGTTATCTTCACTACAGGATTTTTCAGAGACTTTACTGTACTGGCGTTTTTTAAGAATCTCTGAAAGAGAATAGTGGAATGCATCACTATTTTTTAATCTTATGTGGCCAAAGAACTCATGTCCCCAAACTACTATCACTGTCTAATACTCATGAACATCTTATCAATCTAATGTTTTATCTAAATGCTTATCCACTCTCTTGTGTTACATTTAGACAGTACCACTCATTCACATGGCTTAACTGGCCCATGTGAACATCTGTGTTTGCAGCTCTGTAGAAAGGCAATCCATACTCCCATTTTAGAGATGAATAAACCAAGTTTCAGGGGGTTAAGTGATTTGCCTATGGTCGCAGAGGTAGTGAGTAGCCAAGGCAGGTTTCCCATTAACTCTGTGTATTTTATTACCTCTAACTCTACTTCAGTTCATTTTTCTTGTCTTTGGACCCATCTTTCATTTTTGTTTTGTTAATGACTAGCCTCTCCTTGTCACAGGCTGTCATCAGAACAAAGAATGGCATTTGAGAAGTGCTGTCCACAGCTTTTAGGCTTAGAAGACATACATGATAATTAAAGAAAATTACTACTTCTTCCCTCACTCTATATCGGATGATGGTATCTTAGTGAAAATAGATCATATTCTACTGTTAGTGAAAAGTAGACTTTGGAAATTAATTCTCAGAAAACACAGTGCATAAGATGAATATTGTACTTACATTATAGTTTGTTTCACTAAAGCTTAACAAAAATAATCCACAAGACAACTTGGTCAAAAGTAAACCACCTGGCACAACAAACCCAATCCTGTCTGATCTTGGAAGCTAAGCAGGGTCGGGCCTGGTTAGCACTTAGATGGGAGATCACCTAGGAAGACCAGGTGCTGTAGGCGTAAAAAATAAAAAATAAAGGATTGTAAACTGACAAGGTTCTTGTAATATGTGAGGTCAACCAAAGGTTGCCTCGCCTAAAAAGAACAAAAAAAAGTAAGCCACCTGGCAACAGAATAGGCAAGCGGCGTTTTTGAAGAATGCACTGGCATATTTGCCAGTTAACTATGGCCTGCAGCATCACCATCAAACTGGAACAGTGGGCTCAGCACATTGCCCTCCCCAGTGTGGGTGGGCGTCATCCAGTATGTTAAAGGCCTAGATAGAACCGCAGGCGGAGGAAGGAGAAATTCTTCTCTTTTTTAGCTTCTGTAATAAATGACTCCATATTCTCAGTATTTATAACACACTAAAGGTTTATTTCTAGCTCACATCACAGCCTGATAAAGATCCAGAGTATCTTCTGGCAACTTTCCAAAGCAGTGACTCAGGGATCCAAGCTCCTTCCTTTCTGTGAGCCTGCCATGATCAGTGTGTGACTTCCAAGGCCACCACGTAAGGGGAAGAGAAAGTGGACGATTGTGTCGAAGGCTTTATGGCCAGGCTTGGAAAGGTCTTATACCTCCTTTATCTCACTGGCCAGAACCCAATTACATGGGTCTGACCTCATGGTGTGGAGGCTGGGAAATGTAGAAGAACTAAAACTGTCGAGAAGCTATCCAGTCTCTACCACAAGTACCTGGAATGCCATTTACCTAGGGGAGGTCGAGGAATGCTTCCTGTAGAAGTCCACTGCATCCATAAGGTTTTTTTTACTTCCTCCCTGCTGAGCTGGGACATCTCATCATCTTTTCCTGCCCTGGGACTATAATTTATGCCATTGCTGGATTAGTTCTCCTATCTTTGGACTTGCACTGGCTTTCCTGTGTCTCCAGGCAGGAAGAGATCATGAGACTTCTCAGCCTCCATAATCATGAGAGTCAACTTCTCATAAAAAGCCTCCCCGTATATATCTATATGTCTATATCTCCATATAAAGAGATAGATATACTTCCTATTGGTTCTGCTTCTCTGGAGAATCCTGAGTAATACAGTTGACTTTCTATCTTGTTAAACAGTGGTAGAAAAAATATCGAGCCTAGTCTCTTTTAAATCACAAACATGTTGTCAACTATTCTATATATTAATATAGTTGATTCTAGAGAATTGTTTTAAAGTAAAAATAATAAACCAAAATAAACCTAATTCTTTTCATTTCGAGGCCCCGCTGGTAGCACTGAATAGCCCGCCCCCATACTCTGAAGCCAACTGCTCTTCAGGGCTTCAGTTAATGCACTACAGTAAGTCTTGAACCTCATTTTCAATTAACAGGGTCATAATCAATTGATAGTTTATTTAATGAAATAGTATCGTGTCTCTTCCTTAAGTCGTGGCCCTTAATATTATCGTGTCTCTTTCTTAAGTCGTGGCCCTTAATATTTTTGTACTCCACACCAATTTGAAATTCAATGAAATTTATGATCTTTCTCCCCATCAAAACACACACATACATATATATAATCATTAACATTTGCACGATGTTTTAGTGCCTCCCTTGGACCCCTTGTAGTTCCAATGTATCCTAAGAATCCAAGGATCTTGGATAAAAAGCCAATAGTAAGGATGGCTAGCTGGTCACTTGACTCAGATGTTTAAGAAGGTATAGAACCGGGGATATTAGTGTCTTCTCATCAAAAAGGGTCTTGAGAATAGGTACTATATGTTGAGTTCTGGCTAGATGTCAGATACCGTGCTAATGTTTTAATATATTTAGTCTTTCTAAAAGCTCTCGGCATTGTAATCACCATTCTACAAAAACAAGAAAATGGAAACAGGGACGTTAAGAAACTTGCCCTAGACTGAATGATCAGTAAGAGGTGGAGCCTGAATCCCAACCGAGGTTCAGTCTTAGTTACAATGGGATATAGGACTTCACAGAATCTAAGTTACATTTGCTAACGCGTTGTTCTCAAGGGTGAAAACCACTTAGAAGTCAATGCTCTTTATCTTCTAAATAAGTACACTCGATTACAATGCAAGATTTTGTGTTTTAACCAGATGACAACCACCAATTAATTAATTTAAAACCACTATATATATGGCAAACGTTATTGAAGACGCAACTAGATTCCAGGTTTGTATATGGCAACTACTTTATTATTTTCAAATGCAAACTCTTTGCATTTAGTTTGCTATTTTACAATTTTACAAACTAGGTATAAAAGACCATAAATAAATGACATAAGTTATGTGTACCTAAGTTTCATGAAGGGAAGAAATATACCTTGACAAAATTAAAACAAAATAGAAAATCTATGTCTAACTTAAGAGATCGTTCAAATTTCAGAACATGTATGAACCAAGCAATTTTCTGTTAATTTCTTTTTCAGTATGAACTAAATTATAATATGTCTTATACATTCTAATTTTAACCACAGTCCTTGCATATTCCAACATACTTGGAGTGATAAAAAAAATAAATGCACTCTTCAGTGTGTATCAATGTTTGATGTTGTTTGGAGAATGTTAAATAAGTGAAAATATTGCTTCTAGAACTTTCCTTTACTGGTCAGAATTTAAGTGTCTTCAGACAAATATTGAGGCTAAAGCGTGTATGGATTAATACACATCCTTCACAGATTGAATATGAGAGGTCTTAAAACACACACACCAGCAGTGTAGTGAGCACAACCTTTCTTTAAAATAACTTCTTAAAACACACCAGAACATTTTATTCATAATATCGTTAAAAATAATTTGGGGCCAGTGGACACATGGTGAAGCTACTTGATTTGGTGCACGAGATCAGCTTAATGCTTCCTAATGGAAGATCTGAGCTCACTAGGCCAAGACTCACTCGTGGGGCTAGACCCAGCCCGTGACGTTGGCCTCTTGCCCTTACCTCTGTGGAAGGGTGACCTGCTCAGAGATTCGACATCATTTCTTTATACATATTTTTCAGGCATCAATGCATAGGCACATCCCTTTAAAAATATATTAAAGTCCCCAAAAAGGGGTGAATTAACTTTGTCACTCTGGCATAGTTATGAGAATACAATGCCATACACCCTGTCAGAATGCAATAAATATTTACCGATGATTTTCTTTACTTATTCAACAACATAGGGTTCAGAATCTTGTTTCCCATTTTTCCCTGATTTGATGTTATAGCTTATATAAATGACCACAGTTTCTGCAGCCATAGCTTAGAATAAACAAGGCAGCCACTCAGATTATGAAACACGGCAGTATGTTGGCTGGAGTTTGGTATGCACATCATATCAAAACAGAACCTTCAGGTTCTAGTGGACCTCAGATTTTAGTGGGCTGACGCACTTTTGAGGGCCATCAGTGTTAGCTGTATATTAACTGTAGAACTTTCTATGTAATTGGGAACCTGAAATTGCTTGAGGCCATTTAATCTCAACTATGCTAACCTCAAGAGTCACTGGCATGTATTTTTCTGTGACATTGGGAGACAAAGTATTAATCCAGGACATATCATCTCAAAGCTGACACACATGTCTACGCTCATCTCCAAAAGTATATGAATTGCATATATTTGTTCTCATTCAACAAGTCCATTTATTCAGGAAAACGAAGGCTACTTGTATTCCATTTGGGGTTACCAGACAAATTCTATCCCCTTCTCTCTCTCCGTCAAGGAACTGGTGATTCAGATGAGGAGTTCAATCAGAAGTTGTGACTTTGATGGTGGGTTATCACTTGAACGGGTTTATATTGTAAAATTACTCCACCGCTAAGGTGAAAATGCCTCTGCCCAAAGCTGTAGAAATACTCATTAAGGTTAGTTTGGCAGCTACAAAACACAGGACGTTTTAACATTTCCGGTTGTCTTTCCGAGGGGATGAGCATGGCCTCCAGGCCCGCCATCTCGTGTGGCTCTTCATCTCAGAACTGGTGGAAAACCAGAACGCTCCACGTGTCGCATTCCACAACAGACACAGGCAGTTCTAAGCATGAGGTTATACACGCACACACACATACACATGTGTACACACACGCTCACACCTATGTACACACATCAAAACAGAGAGTCAGCTCATATTTAGTCTAGGAAAAAAATATATTTATATCACTGCAATGGCACACCCTGGGTAAAACGTTACTTCAGCAATGCATATCATAGGCAGCTCATGGGAACTGGCTTTGTTTTGTGTGGTGGCACCTGACCCGGTGTCCATAGGAAAACCTGTAGCCTTTGGTCACTTGCTGTCACACCAATGCAGCAGTGACACACAAGAATGAAGTATGGAAATACATATAAATAAAGCCACGAGGAGTTCGGGAACAAGGTTCTGCAGAGCTGGTGCTTCGAGACAGTACATTCCTCAGTGCAACCGGAGAACAGATGCTGAACCTTGAATGCTTGCTGTTTCTTTCACTGGGCAAGGGGATCTACAAGTCGCACATTTATCCTTTGCAGGTGCAGATGCTGTTTCATCAGTGTCTTTGCTCCAGAACTGGCGCAGTAGAAGCAGAAGAAACACATTTAGAAAGAACCGAGGAGGGTGTGTTCTGTTTTCTTCCGTGGGCTTTGTAATCAACAGGAAGGGCTGCAAGGCCAAGATAGCAGAATCTACTCCCTGTAGAGAAAAGAACAAGACTGTAGACAAAACATCAGCCAACATCCCCAGCCAGTTGTCAACCAATATTGCAAGAAAGAATACACATCTACAGAAGTGGGTAGGGCTCAGTAAGAAGTAGTTCAGGAGGGTAATCATGAATTCTTATTTTGCTCCTCTGAAAAATGACAACTATAACAACCAAAAAATAACGTGCATCGGCAGCTTAACTATAATTACTCTGAGGAAAGTGCTATTCGGATTCCTATTACACGGATGACGACACTGATGCATAGAGAAGCTAAGCTACCTGCTCATGGTCATAAATTCTGAAGTGGCAAAACTAGGATTAGAACCCCACACAGTCTGAGTCTACAGCAGTGTGCGAGCAGCCTCTCTCTGAAATAAAAATGCTGACTTGTCACGGTGTAGTCATGTGAGAGGGGAAGGGCTCAGAGTTTGTGAAAGGTGGTGAAAGGTAAATAATGCTACTGTGGAAGCCCAGATACAAGCATCTCCCCTTCCCAGTGAGGGAAACTGCGTATCTCAGAAACAAATCTCGAAACATTACAATCTACCAAGAGTCAACAATATGACTGAAAAAATGCAAACTAAGAAACTAAAAGTATTAGATGTTTTTCTTAAAAAGAAAGTAACTTCAAAAGAATGGGATTATCTAATTAGTAAAGGAGCAACACACTCTGCCTGTAATAGGCAGAGAAAGAGAACCTGGGGCCATGGGCACAGTGGAAGTGGTCCCAAGGAACTGAGCCCACCAAGAACTAATCCACCACGGATGCCCCATCGGTCTAGAATCCACCGAGGCTGGCCCAATGCAATGAAATCATGAGGGCTCCTCGTTTGTCAATCAACTCAAGCCAAAAGAAGTGACAGATGACTATCGAGATTGCTTCTTGGACTGTATCTCCCACACCACATTTGACAGTTGGTGGCCTCAAGTGTAGAGCAAGGATTAAGACCAAAGTGCATCTTTACAGACAATTTTGCTTATTGTATTAAACCATCTATTTATTTGCTTATATGTGTTTATTGATTGTGTGAGGGAGATAAATAAATTTAGTTTCTTTGATGTAGATGACCATTATTTAAACTTGTAGAAAATACTTTATTCTATTTGGAGAGAAGTAAATAAAGTTTCCTTATAAAATAGCCAGATTGAAATTACTTCTTAAGCAATTTAAAATTATAAATGTGAGTAAGGGTGGAACTAGCAAGGTCTTCAAGAGGCCACTAGTCAATACCATTCATTCTGACAATTATGAAAAAATGAAAGAAAAGGGATCAGATCTATTTTTCCAACTGTTTCTTCTCTGGAAATCAGTAAGTGTATCAAACGTAGTTTTGGAAACCTGAATGTGCAGGGATTCATCAGGCAGACGTGTATTTATACGAAAGAAAAGGAGACCATGAATATGACCTTGACACTCTCATGGAGTACAACCAACACCATATGGATATGCAAACTTTTTGAAGGTGATTTTCTTTTGCTACTAGAATTCCATTCTTAGAGGAGAAAGAGCAGTCTCAAAAACACATGTGTCCCCTTTCAGCCTGCCAACCCCCTTCTTCCCAACGCCTGCATACGAATATATATTATATAAATATATTTGTAATATTAAGTGGGTTTCTTGGGGA